TCCCTCTCGCCTCACTGCTCCCCCGCACGGGGCGCCAGCCGGCCTGCCGACGACGCGGAGCGCGAGCGGCGGGACCGAGAGGAGCGCCTGAGACACTCGCGGAATCCAGCCACTCGTGGCCTCCCCTCCACGGCCTCAGGTCGCCTGCGTGGGACCCAGGAAGTGGCCCCCCCCACTCCCCTCACCCCTACCTCACACACGGGTGAGCGTGCTCAGAATGGTGTTCAGGTTTTACTGTCTGAGGCTCTGGGGAGAGTGGGGGTGGTCTGGCCCTCTGGCCGTCCCCGTGGGAGCCTGGGTTTGCACACTCACAGCCAGCCCAGAGAACCCTGTGTCAGCCGTTCCTCCTCAGTAGGGTGGCTGCGGACAGCCCACAGTGGTTCCTCATGGACACTGTCACAGGACTGCTTCCTTGAGGGACTGAGCTTCTTGAAAGCTGTCACTGTCATTTCTGGCAGGAAAGTTTTCTGGTTACGTAAAGCCCTCCTTTGCGAGTCCCTGACGCTCGCTCTTCAGGCCTTTATGGGCTACAGGTGTCCAGGCCTTGGCTTGCCCCCACCTGGCTGGCCGGGGAGGTGGCACTGCCACTGTGAGTCTGTCCAGGGCCCACATGTGAGCTTTCGCTGGGCGTGTGCTGATCCTACCTGTTGGTTCTGGTCTGAGCATCGGGGTGACCACTGCTGCCCTGCAGCCAGGGGCCACTGTAGCCATGGCAGACCCCTCTACGTGGAGCCGAGGCCTGGCCTCACTGGCTTCTCCTCTGCCCAGCCAACACCTCCCCCCGGCCCGTCTCGGGCATGGAAAGAGAGCGGAAAGTGAGCATGCGGCTGCACCGCGGGGCCCCCGTCAACATCTCCTCCTCCGACCTCACGGGCCGACAAGATACCTCTCGCATGTCCACCTCACAGGTACGCATTTGGAGCAGGCTAGGGCCAGGCCAGGTCTGGGCCTGGGGCGGCGCTGGGCCTCGGCTCGCCCGCTGGGACTGGGTGGATAGGTCGCAGGTTGAGAGGGGTGGGGACTTTGGAAGGTGCGTTCTGTTTTTCTCCCCTGGTCTCGAGAGTTGCTGGCCCACAGGGAAGCGGCGCTCCCAGTCTCCGCTCTGGCTCTTGGTGAGCACCTGTAGCAGGCTGGTGGAGCAGTGCTGTTTCCCAGCTGTGGGTGGTAGGGGCTGGGGCAGTGGCCGCTCAGAGGACGTTTGCTCTTCTGTTGGCTGCCTGGCCGCTTCGCCACCCAGGCTGGAGGCTTGCAGCTCGTCAGGAGGGCCGACTGTAGTGCGCTTGGCCTCTGGGACTCCTGTTCTTGCTGGCCAAGCATGGTCCTGGTGAGGACCTCAGGAAGCCTCGAAGGGACCCACTTGCCAGGGTCCGGCCTGCTGGGGCGTCTAGTGACATGCTGTGTGGGTCTGTGTGCCTTGGGTGGGGGGCAGTGTGCTCAGAGAAGCATGCTTGCGGCGCTCTGCAGGCAGGACGGCGTGACAGATCGAGCAGCCCGGTGCCAGGTCTCGTCCGCGGCCAGTCCCACCCTCCTCACTCTCGGCTTTGTAGTCCTTGTTCTGCGTTCGCAACACAGCTCCTCTTCCAGCAGACCAGACGGCACTCATGTGCATGCCTCTTTTCTTCCTTAAATAGCCTTCAGGGCACCCTGCCCACAGGAGCGAGGGTTAGGAGGTCAAGGACGGGCCCCAGCGGGCCGTTCATGTCACCAGCGGGTGTCCTGTGGAATGCCTGGACCACTCCGTGGTGTCCTGCGAGGTGAGCAGGACCTTGTCTCGCTGGAACCTAGTTCTGGGACGCCGTGGGGATCCTGTGTGGCTCGCAGGGCGTGTTCCCAGTCCTTCGACATAGCGAGTGGCTTCCCTGGGCCTTCCTCGCCCGCCTATGGCTTTACTGTGAACGGGCTGTTCAGTTTAAGTTCCTGCCGAAGAGACCAGAGATCGAGGAAGCGATTACTTGAGTTGTGGAACCGAGCGGTCTGCTGTGGGGTGCCATTGGGTCTCCCATTCACACATCTCTGTGGCCCCTGTCCTCTAGCCCTGCCCCACCCCACTTCGAGACGCAGGGGTCTAACTTTCTTCCCAGAGCCCCCACCCTGGCACGTAGGCCTCGGCGTGTGGGCAGGTCCTGGCCTGTCTTGTGCCTGCCCACATCCGTCCCCCCACATCCCTCGCCCACCCGTCACGCGTGCGGCAGGTCTTGTCACCCTGAGCCTCTTGGGCTGCGTGAGCCTGTGGTGTGGGGCTCTGCCTGTACACAGCCCCGGAGGCCAGGCAGGCGGGGCCTGTCCGTGTTTAAGAAAGTGTGAACGTTCAGTGGTGCCAGGTTGCCAAGGGAAACACGTGGGGTTGTAAACTGCCCAGGGGCTGGGCGGCATGGACCAGAGTCGGGCCGCTGGTCCTCAGCCATGTGGCCCTGGCCAGCCCTAGGGCTCGGGCTGCTGTGGGCTGCTGTGGGCATGACCAGGGGACGCAGGAGAGCCCATTCCCCTCCCTGTGCAGGCCGTGGCGTGCCCACCCCTCTGCGCTCTCTGCGGTCCGTCTTCCACACGGAGCAGCGTCTCATGGCTTGAATGGTCAGAACTGTCTGCCCAGCAGCTGAGGGCAGGCGTCCCCAGGGGTTCTTCGCGTTGGAGCCACAGTCCTGTGGCTGTGATGCTTCAAGGCACTTCCTGCCTCTAGGCCACAGATCTGGTGGCACTCTGGGGACTCGGTGACCCCTGGCTTTGAATCCCAGGGTCACAAGCGAGGCTCTGTCGTCTTTGGCATTTTCTGAGACTCACAGGCTAACGCCTGCCGAGAGGGGTGAAAGTCAGGAAGCAACTGCAGTGACTCCTCCAGTGATCCCTGGGGACCGCTGACGCCCTGGACCAGGAGCCGCAAGGCACCTGCTGGAGCTGGAGCTGCCTGCCCACCCTTCTTGGCTCCCTCTGCCCCTCTGGGCCGGGGTCCTATAGGCTTCTGCAGACTTGCAAGGGGGTGGCCCCTCCTTCCTTGTTCCCCTTCCCTTCACGAGCCAGTGCCTGAGGAGGCCTCGGTCCCCCCCCCATCCAGGTCTGTGCAGGGTGGGGGCTCTTCAGCCCTGCGCCCTGTCCTGCAGGCATGTGGGCGCCGAGGCAGTCGGCTGTGTTCCTTGAGAAAGGCCTCGTGGGTCCAGCGGTATCTGTCCAGGTGCCAGTTACTCCTCTTGATGCCTTTTTAACCCAAGTCGCTCCCAGTCACCACCCCTGGTCCCTAGCACACGAGGGCTGACCCCTCCTCCTTCCCCCGGCCAAGCCCCAGCGGCTGTTGGCTGTTGCCCAGAGGGTAGGAGGGTCTGGCTCTGGCCTCCTGACACCTGCACCTGGGAGAGGAGCCTGCCGCTCTAACCCAGGCTGTCCTGGTACCCCGAGACAGCACTACCTGTGGTCTGGGGACCTGGCCGAGGTGAGCCTCGCGTCCCCGCGGCCAGAGACAGTCGGGCGTGCTCGCAGCTGGCCGCCGCTGGTACACTTGACCGACGGCTGTCTTTTCCCACCTCAGAATAGCGTTCCTTTCGAACACCACGGCAAGTAGCTGCTTGGCTCCCGTCGGAAGGCAGCGCTGGGTGAGTGCTCGCGGGGGCAGGTGCCAGCTGACAGGAAGCCACCACCCTCAGCCGCTGTGGGCGCCCGCAGGTGGGGCTGGGCTTGCATGCAGGTGCAGAGCTGGTGAGGCTTCTCTGCTGGGTCCTGCTCTGTGGGTTCTGGAGGAGCTGTGGTCACCTACCTGGTCTCGGGGGGGAGAGTCCCCAGAGTGACTCAGGACCAGCTGCTGTGCCCCGGCCTGCCTGCCTCCCTCCACCTTGACTTGCGGCGCAGCAGAGCCTGAGCGGCAGGGGGGGCCCGTGGCCTGGAGTCGGCCGGGAGGGGCGAGCCGCCGTGCTCTGCCGCGTGGTGCCACGCTTGCTGTGGGCTCTCAAGCTCATGCTGTGTTGAGGCTCCTGGGATCTCCATGCTCCTGGCTTCTTGGTCCTCTCGCCTCTCGTTCTTTGCTGTCCTTGTTTTGTGTTCCTCTTCGAGCCTGGTCTCTGGCTCGCTGTCTCATCGTGCAGCTGTCGCCTGTACTGACCCACGGCCGCCTGCCCCCGCCTCGGTGCATGGCTGGCGTCCACACTGCGCTCCCTCTTGGTGACGGCACCGCGGCACTTAGTGGCTCCTTCCAGCTGGGGCTTGAGCTTCTGGGGTCTGGTGCCGCGGGTGAGCTGCAGGTCTTACCCTGCCGCGCTCGGATCGTGTCTCGTCTTCACTCTTACAACTCCGAGTCACTTTCCAGGAAAGAGGCCTGGCTGGGCACCGCGTGTGGGTCCTCCCCGGTCGCTGCGAACGCAGCTCGTGCTCACCTGCCTGCTTGCCGTCCTTCCTGTCCTTCGCGCGTTCTGCTGAGCCTGTCCCGGGTGCGAAGGGCCCTGAGTGCTGCCCTTGGGCAGCGGCGTCCCCCAGGCTCCACCCCCGTGGCATTGTAGCCAGCACTGCCTGGCCTGTCCTGTCCTGCCTCATGCTGACCTTCTCCTGTGCTTTGGCTCGACAGATCCCTGGTCGGGCGGCTTCCGGTGGTCTGCAGTCCGCCGTGCACCGATGAGGATGCTCCTCTCCGCTGTGGAGCGGACGATGCATGGCTGATCACTCTGTGACCAATGGCTTTGTAGTGACACGCCCGGTCTAGAGCCGGACCTTAGCGCCGGGAGCTCCAGGCCACTCGCCCGGCAACGCTCGCTCATGGGGGACGTGAAACGCGAACTAAGCAACAGACTCACGAGCGCCTGTGCCGGGGCCCACGTGGACGTGGAGCGGGGCTGGGACAGCAGCAGCGTGAGCGGTGGCAGAGACTCGGCTCGGTCGTGAGCCGCCCAGCCCAGCCCTCCCTTCCAGCCCTGTGCCGGCGACCCTGCACCTGTCATCGTCCACTCGGCTAAGACACTTTTGTATCACTTTGCTAAAGATTGTTGGCTTAAATCTGTGTAAAGAACCCTGTCTTTTTATTGTTTTTGTTTTGTTTTTCCTTGTCTGTTTTTGCGGTCTTAAAAGAGAGGTTGACTTTAAAGAATCCTGAAACGAAGACCCTGGTGTGGAGTTCTGTGTAAAGTGGAGTCAGGTAGGGAGGGCACACGGGGCCCCGAGGGCGTGTGCTGTCTCTGCTGTGCTGTTGCAGTGGGGGAGGCAGGGCCCCGAGGGCGTGCTCTGTCTCTGCTATGCTGTGCTGTGCTGTCCTGTCCACCGCGCGCATGCCCTCGTCAGCCTGGTTGGTGTCTCTCTTGCCCTCCCCACTGTCGGGGCGTGCCTGCCTTGGGAGGTGCCCGCCCTGGGCCCAGGCGCGGCAGTGAGCTCCCAGGAGCCCAGGCGCTCCCAGCATCAGAATGCAGAGCACATTGGATTCCCGGGGGACAGTGACCTGAGAGACCCAGGGCCGTGCTGGGGTCGTGTGTGGTTGTCATGGTGGTGTAGGACGCCTTGGAGTGGGCGAGCCGTCGAATGGGCTCTGAACGCTGTACTGCCATGTGGGTCCAGCCCCTGGTCTCCGAACCGGGCACGAAGTGGCGGGCCGTCCTTGCTGGGTGCCTGGGTTCTCCCAGAAAGGCTGCAGAGCCTCCACCCGAAGTGCCAAGAAGCAGGCAACTCTTACGGCCTGAGGGCAGGCCCCATGCACCCAGGAGACATGTGGTGGCTGTCCCTGGGTGTGGTGGCCCTGCTCACTGCAGGGGCCTGGGCTCCCGTCTGGGGAAGTGGGGGCAGTACCGCCTGGGCCCCTGTCATCTGCTGTCACCGTTGGAGGTGTGCTGTTGGACGCTGAGGACCTACAGGTTCCCTGGGTCTCCCTTCCCGAGTGCCCTGGCCCCGGAATGCCTGGGCTGGGTGCGCTGGCCTCGCCGTCCCAGTGCCGCTCCTGCCTCCAGCCTGTGGTGCTGTCTGAGCCCTGAGCTGGTTGTTTTGTAAACCCCCTGGGGTGCGGGCCCTCTGCAGGAGGTGGGTCAGGGTGAGCTAGTTCTGTGAGTCCCCATGGCGTCGTGGGCACGGGCACATGGCGCGGGGCAGCCTCCTGAAGGGTGGCGGGGGCCCTTGCCATGTGCACCCTCCCTGCTGGTAGGCAGGGCAGTGGGCTGTCCGGGCTGTGGGCCGTGCCCCCGTGTCTGTACCTGACGCCTGTACATAATAAAGTCCTGCCCTCCTCCGCCCGCCCGCCCCTCCCGTGTGCTCTTTATTCCGCCGGCCCGAGCGAGCGAGCGGTGTGGAGGCTGAAGTGCCTCGGAGGTGCTGGGCCATGCTCTTGTCTGGCCTGCGGGCCTGCATGCTCGCCTGCAGCGGCCCTGGGCTCTGCCCAACCTGAGAAGGGGCTCGGGGTGCTGTGGGGGTCAGAGACCCGGCAGCACGGTCCAGGGAAGTGGGTGGGAGGGGTGGCCAGCAGTTTACCTCATGACACAGCTCTCAGGTGGACCGACAGGGCGCCACCCCACGGCCACCTCAGCACTCATCATCTGTCCCTAGGTCCAGTCCCCCTCGAGCTCTGGATGCCCGGCTCCCCCCACCAAGGTCTGGAGACCTGAAGGGTCAGGGAGGTTGCCTGGGCTTGTCCTGTCTCAGAAGCTGGTCTGAGCTCCTTGTGCTGGTGGCCATGGCTATGGCACTGGGTCCCACCTCCTCCCTGCCCAGCCTGCAGGGCGTGTTGGTTTGCTGTAGGCCACATTAGGGCTGCCCAGGCCCTCCTTGGCAGCCCTGTGGCGGCTGTGTTCTGGGCACTCCCAAGTGGCTCCCGGCCTGTCCCACTCAGGGCCAGACAAGGCTGGCAGGGGTCTGCTCTGCCTCTCCCTCCGCTGCCCAAGGCCAAGAAGGGACGCCTCAGGAGCCTCCCCACACCTGGCAAGCACCAGGCTGACAGGAGAGCCCACGGGGCTCCTCCCCGGTACCCCGCCAGCTGGGGCGCAGGCAGTGCGTGAGGGCGAGGGATTCAGAGTCCTGGTCCCAGTGTGAGCCTCCTGGAGGTTCGTCTGCCCACCATCAGGAAGGCTGCCCTGGACCCCCTGCCTCTGTCCCTGGTGCCCCCTGCTGCCCTGGGCAGGCAAGCTCTGGAGCCCAGGCAGAGGGGCACAAGTGGGACGGGGCCTGGGACAATCCTCAGCCTGCTCAGATGGAAGTTCTGGGTGACCCTGCCTCCTAAGGGGCACTCGTGTCTCCGACTCCGGGCTTCACAGGAAGCTGAGTACAAGCGCCCTTTGTCCTTGAGGACTGGCACCCCACTTTGTCTGGAGTCCTCCATGGCTTTCCTGGGCACATCTTCGGGCCCTCCCACCTCATCTACTGGGTCAGAACGTGGGACACCTCTCTGGAGCAAGCAACTCCAGGGCTGCCACTTGCTAGGGACAGGAGCATCGGCTTCTTGTGTCTTGGACACAGCTGGGAACATCTGGAACGGGAGACCACAGAAGAGCCTCTGATCCCTTTTCCCTGCTGGTGCTGAGCTGTGCCAGGCAGGGTCCACCGAGCCCAGCGGGCACTGCCACTGTCTCAGAATCGCCATGTCCCTGAAGTGTGACTGTCACCACCATTCCCAGCCGCTTTGTGCCTTGCGAGCTGTGTGTCTGAGCGCGGGCGAGGGGGCCAAGCAAGGCAAGAGAGGATGGACACCCGAGTGGAGGGGTCAGCCGGCTGGCCCAGTTTCAGGGCACTGTCAGGTGCACTCAGTGCCCACAGGAGCCCTCTCAGCCCCAGGTATCTGCCACGGCCATGAGGCTCACAAGGTCCCTGGCAGGAGAGGGGCAGGCCGGGGGCGGGGCTGAGGGAAGTGCACGGGCTGCACCCTGCCGAGACCTGGCGCTGCCTGATGAGCCCGCGGCTCCCACCCAACCTGTCATCCCTCCCCAGCCCTGGCTCTGGCTCCTGAGGGAGCTGCCAGGACCCTGGAGCTCCGTGTCCACAGGCGGGCTCGGCCCGTCCAGAGGGCCTGGGGTCCCTGCCAAGTACCTCCTGTGGGCACAGGGTGGGTGCTGCTGTCCTGCACGTGGGCCTTGGCTGTCGAGGGCCAGGCCGTGACCTGTGGGGCCTGAGGGAAAGGGGTAGCCCAGACCCGATCCTGGCGTCTTGGCAGAGCTGGGGTAGGGCAGGGCCCTGGGCTGAGGCTGGGCCTGGAGGTGAGCCCTCGCTTGCTTTCTGTTGCAGAGGAGCAGGGATGTGGCATCTCTCCGACTGCACGCGGCCCGCCAGGGTGCCCGCTGCCGTCCCCAGCGCCCACGACGCACCACCTACTGAGGCGGCCCCAGCGGCCTCTGACCGGGCTCCCAGCCACGCAGGCCGCCACTGGCCACGAGGGCAGGTGGGTGTGAGGTACCTGGGGAGCCTGAGCGCTGAGACGGGCTGGACGGAGGATGGGGGCAGGAGTCCTGTCTCGTACGCACACACGTCCTGACGGCTTACGTGCTCACCCCAAGGGCTCCCTGCAGGCTCAGGCCAGCCAAGGCTCAGCACCACCCCTGCTGCAGCACGCGGCCCCTCCCGCCTGCTGTCAGAGCTGCTGAGCACTGTCGCAGCCACCCTGGGGCCACAGCGGATGTCGGGGACAGACGGCGCCGACACAGCTGGCGAGGGCTAGAGCACTTTGTAATAACCAGGTGGCATCTCGGCAGGCGTGAGCGGCGAGCCCCACAGACGTGCGGGATGGGAGGAGCTCCGTCCCCTGGATGCTCGGAGAAGGCCGAGCTGCACGGCAGGCCCAGGCACGGTCAGGCAGCAGCCCTGCCCTCATTAAAGTTGTGCTGTCTCCGAAGCGTGGCTGTCTAGGTCCTTGAGCACAGCGGTGGCCACTGGGCTGCCAGGGCAGAGGCCAGGACCCTGGTGTGGGCACCTGGAGCTGGCCTGGCCTCACCACGGGTCTCTGGCATGACTTGCTGCTCACGCCACCTCCCCTCAACCACCACTCCCGGGCCGACCTGCTGCCAGCCGGCTGGTAGCCCATGGTACACCTGAGCTACTCCTGCTGGTGAAACGAGCTCGAGCCTTGCCAGTCTCTCTCCCTGTTCCCTGCACCCTCTAGCCCCAGGCCGCTCACACGCTCGTTTCTGGGGTGTGGGTGACCTCCCCGTTTTTCTCAGACTCTGCCTTCAGGAAGTGTTCCACCTCCCGAGAGTCCACTGTCTCGTCCGCAGGGGGCTGGTGGGGCTTCTGCGGGGCTGCTGCCTCGGGTGGTGGCTCCCGAGGCCCTTTCCTCAGGCAGAGGTTGCCCAGCAGCAGCACCAGGGAAGCAGCGAGCACCTCGGCCCCTGCCAGGATGAACACGTACTGGTACACATGCGTCGCGTCCAGGAGCTTGCCTGCAAGGGGACCGTGTCACCTGCTGCTCGTTCCCCCTGGCCTCCACCCCACAGCCTTAGGCCCGGGCAGTGGAAACCCGAGAAACCAAGATGGCCTGCTGGAGGGGCTGCCCGGTCACCCTACCACCCTCTGGTGCCATTGGTCCCCGGGCTTGGGACTGGCCCTGCACTCTAGGACCCAGAGATGAGGAGTCTCCACGCATGGAGGAGCCAGAGGCTGGGGGGGAGGCCAGAGCTTGGCCAGGTCACCCTGTCCAGCCACTCAATTTTCTCAGCCTTCAAGGAAATAACACAGGCACCTAGCGACAAGGGGCTGGTGCTGGCCTGTGTCCTGAGCGCCCCTGTGGGTCTGGGGCCCTCCCGCGCCGGGATGCCCAGAGGGGTACCAGCCAGGCCCACGCTTACCGCCCGATGGGGGTCCAATGAGCACGGCTACAGCTTCCAGGAGCAGCACCAGGCCGATGGCGCTGGAGAACTTGCGGGTGCCCACGATGGCCATGAGCACCTCGAACTGCAGCGCCCCCACCATGCCGTAGGAGATGCCAAAGAAGACGCAGAAGACCACCAGGCCGCCGTAGTCGCCTGCCGTGGAGCCCGTGAGGTCGGCAAAGCCGTTGAAGAACATGGCGAAGCTGAGGAGGTAGACGGAGTAGGGCCGCACTCTTGGCAGCCCGGCAAGCAGGCCAGCGGCCGGCCGTGCGAAGATGTCGATGAAGCCCAGCACGGTGAGCAGGAAGGCTGCCCGCGTGTCGGGCACGCCCAGGTCCTTGGCGTAGCTCACCACGAATACAGGGGGCACGAAGAGCCCCAGCACCATGATGGAGGCGGCGGCGGCGTAGAGCACGAAGCCGCGGTCCCGGAAGACACTCAGGTCCAGCAGCCGCCGAGCAGGGGCCGGGGGCGCCCGCCCCTTCCTGGGCCAGCCGGGGTGGCCTGCAGGGGCCGCATGAGAGCCGCACAGGCGCAGCAGTTGAGCAGCAGGCCGCCCAGGATGAGGAAACCGCCACGCCAGCCATAGCGGTCCTGCAGCAGCTGCCCGAGCGGGGACAGGGCGCACAGGAACACCGGGCTGCCCGCTGCCGCCAGCCCGTTGGCCAGTGGGCGGCGCACGCTGAAGTAGCGGTTGAGCATGATGAGCGAGGGCTGGAAGTTGAAGGCCAGGCCCAGGCCTGGGGGAGGGGGTGGAGGGGAGGGGCATGAGGCCGGGCCAGTGCCGAGACATGCCGGGTGAGCCCCTGCCACCCTTGTCCCCTACTGCTGCCCAGAGCGGCTCCACTGGGGAGGCTGCGGGGCACCCCTCCACTGCCTGCAGGGTCTCGTCACACGCCCTGCCCACTCACCGGTGACGACCCCTGTGGTGAGATAGACCTGGACGATGCTTCTGCAGAAGGACGCGGCCACCATGCCCAGGGATGCGAAGAGGCCGCCCACGAGCATGACGGGGCGGCAGCCGAAGCGGTTGACGCACACGCTGCAGAGCGGGCCTGCAAGGGCAGCAGCTGAGTGGGCCTCCAGAAGTTACCCCCACCCAGCAGGCCCGGAGCCCACAGCCCCTCCAGCTCCTGCTCGCCTCCGCAGGTCCCTGAGAATTCGCTGGCTTAAAGTAACAGCGGACCACATTTGGCTAGTGATTAAGGCGCTGGACTCCCACATAGTTGACCCCAGTTCGAGTCCTGAACCTGGCAGCTTCAGAATTAAGCCAGGTGCATGTGCTTGAGTGCCCAAAATCGAGAGGACGGAGGACGGGCTGTAGCGCAGCCATCCCCCTAGTGGGTGATTTCTCACTCTTCTCTCCATCCCTCCCTGGCAAGCACACCTGCCCTACGGCAAAAAAAAAAAAAAAAAAAAAAGTAATCTTAAAAATAAATACATGAAGCCCTCTTCTCTGGGACCATCCACAGGACAGGCCTTTCCTGTGTCCAGCTTGATGCCATGTCGAGCACGCGCTCCCCCGAGTCCCCTCAGACCCGTGGCCGAGCAGCCTCACCTGTGCCGTACAGCATGGCCAGGAGGATGGAGGAGACCCAGGCCGTGTCACTGTAGCCAATCCCGAATTCACGCATGAGCTCCTTGAAGAAGACGCTCACGGCCTTCGGAAAGGCGTAGGAGAAGCCGGTGATGACGAAGCAGCCCAGGAGCACGGCCCAGCCCCAGCCCCCGTCTGGGGCCTTGACTCCTGTGGGACCATCATCCACCACGGCCCCTCCCATGGCAGGAGACCAGGCTGGCTCAGCCTCACCTGGAGAGACCAGGCTAGCTCAGGCTGCAGCCAGAGCAGCAGGGTGGGGGTGGGGGCGGGGGAGGGGCAGCAGAACCTCTGTGTGGCAGTCACCGATGGGTGTGCAGGCCGGAAGGCTGCCCCTCAGACTACGCCCACGGCTGGCCCTAAAGGGCAGTGGCTTTTTGGAGCTCCACCAGACTCCGTACCCCAGGGAAGAGCAGGCACCTCCCTTGCCTGGTTGGCATTCTCTGGTCCATGGGGCCTTCCGGGGCGGTCTGTGGACGCCACACAATTCCCACCTGGGTTTCGCTCCGAATGGGCCAGCCTTGCCTGACTCTCCCAGCCAAGGGGGTCCCTGCTGTCCACTGTGGACTTGCTGTGCCCAGCCAAGAGACTGTAGAGCAGGACACACTCGGGCCACTGTCCCCCGTGGGAGGGTCTCGTCCCACCTCTGCCTGGGACTGCCCACACACTGGGGCCTCGACACTGACCAGGGAGGCCTGGGGCCAAAGAGCCTGCAGCGTGCCGGAGGGAGCGCCACTGGCCCAGCAGAAGATACCGTCCCACCCCCTGCCCTGCGCAGGCTCCAGGAGCTCAGCTTGGGGAGGCAGGCAGGGGTAGACTTCACCTCCACCCCCGCCCCGCCGGCCTCGTCT